CCTGCAACAGCGGCGGTGGCTGTGGTTTTGGAGCGGCAAATGGCGGCACTTCGAATTGACGAAGGCGAACCGGTGGAGGAAGGAGTGCAGAAATTCTTCGACTTGTTGACACGGCTCGAAGGAGCTGACCTGAACTACAGTGACCTTCAAAAGAAGACAAGCTGCTAGCCTTACTTCCGGACTCATGGTCCTCGCTCATCATCAACCTTAATCGAGATCTGCCCCGTCTCTCACTCGAAGATGTGAAGCGGGAAATCTTACAAGAAGATTTCCGCCGTCGCGAATTGGCGGGTCCCGATGGTGCCGGAGTTGCAAGCATGGGCCCGTGGGCACGGCCGTGGAAGGGGCAGAGGCGAGGAGGGCAGATTTGGCAGCAGCAACTTCAATGGAGGCCGTGGTAATGGAGGATATGGCAGCAACAACAATGGCTACGGGCGTGGGCGCGGTCGATTTGATGGCGAATGCCACTTTTGCCACAAGACCGGCCACATGTGGAGAGATGCTTCAAACTACCTGATGGCTGGACCCCCTCTCAAGGCCAAGAGGGCAGAGGAGCAAGGGGAGGAAGAGGCAGAGGTCGTGGAGGCCGTGGTGGCCGTGGAGGCGAAGCGGCAAGCATGAAAGGTGGAACTACGACAAGGACTCGAGTGAAGATCGATACCCGGGCCAATTCTTCTTTGTCTCCACGCAAGCGGCAGCTGCAGCAGGAGGTGTGGAAGGCTTTGAGGAGCCAGCTACTGTGGGAAAGGTCACCCTTCACTCTCTGGACTTTTGGGTGATCGATAGCGGCGCCACCTATAGCATGACACCTCGTGCGGACTTTGCTCACCGAACTCGAACCGTCGCCGGTCAAGCATGTTACATCGGCTTTGGGACAGCGAGCAGAGGTGAAAGGCATGGGCAAGGCCATGTTCAAGGGTGCTGATGGGAAGATGGTGGGCCTCAAGAACGTGCTTTTGGTGCCCAACCTAGCAGCCAACCTGATTTCCGTTCGGCGTTTGCAAAAGGCCGGCATGGACACATCTTCCAAGGGTTCGAAAACATATACCGCGAGGCTTGGTGAGCGGAAGCTTTGGGACCTTCATGAGGACAGGGACATCTACAATGAGATGTGGCAAATCCCAGTGGTCCCCATGCCTAAGGAGAGGCAAGTGGCAGCAAGCGTCAGCACCAAGAGTGAAGCGGATGGTGGCGGTGATCACGGAAAACAAAGTGACACCAAGAGTGACTCGAAGGAGTGCAATCTTGGAGAGACCAGCAAGGCGTGTGAACCCAAGGAGAGTAGTGCAGCAGCCAAAGGTGGTGGAAATGAGGAGGGGAAACCTAAGATCAGCAAAGCAGCAGCGGCGAAGGAGAAAGGAGAGAGCTTGTGGGACACGATTGCGAGTGCCGCTTTTCTCCAACCCGACTTCCGCTACGGGAGAGTGTGATTGGCTGACCTGCATCGGCGAATGGGGCATGTGGCATTGCCCATTTTGCAGCAGATAGTTAAGCAAGAGATGGTCAGTGGGATACGTGTCAAGGGGGAGCCCAATGAGGTGCTTGGCTGTCCAACATGCATGCAAGCCAAGTTCACCCGCTACCCGTTCCATAGCTCGGAGACAACGGCGAAGGCACCACTTGATGAGGTGGTGATGGATGTGGTGGGCCCCTTGAAGCTTGGAGCTGCTGGAGCTGCGTACTTCCTCACCATTGTGGACGTCTACACTCGCATGACTTGGGTGTATGTGCTGCCAAAGAAGAGTGACGTAGCTGAAACGGTGAAGACCGATTGGTTGCCGATGGTGGAGCGGCAACAAGACCGACTTGTGAAGGCGATTCGCACTGACCGTGGGGGAGAGTTCCTGAGCAAGGATTTCTCAACTTGGCTGAAGAAGCAGGGCATAAGGCACTCTCTTACCATGCCCTACTCTCCTGCAATGAACGGCATCGCCGAGCGTGCGAATCGGACACTCACGGAGACGGCTCGGGGACTTCTCATTGAAGCCGGTCTTCCCAATTACTTTTGGCCGGATGCGGTGCGGCATGCTTGTGTGGCCAAGAACAGAGCCTTGACTCATGTGGGAGAAGACAAATGGGTGCCCTATGTGGAGTGGATTGGAAGGAAGCCGAAGGTGGATATGCTTCGGGTGTTCGGGTGCATGTGCATGGCACTTGTGCCTAAGAAACTTCGGCACAACAAACTTGATGCCAAGGCAACATGGGCCGTGCACCTGGGCATGGCTCAAAACAGCAAGGGATGGCTTCTTTGGGACCCATTTACCAAGAAGTTCTTGGTGAGCAGAGATTGCAAGTTCATGGAGAACTTACCGTACAAGGAGTGGAAGGCGGAGAACCAAGCGAAGATTGGTATGCGGCTTGGAGAGGTGAAGAGTAACGGCTTGGAGCATGTGGAGCTGCCCTTGGAGCTGAGTAGCAGCAGCACATCACGAGGCAATCTCCTCAAATGAATGGGGATGAAGAGGAGGAGGAGGTGCAGCAAGGTGATGAGCGTGCACCGTCACTTCCGCCTCGTGCTACAAGTGCTCGGGAACCGACCAGATTTACCCGCAATGCCATGAGAGCATTCAAGTCCCTGCAGCAGAGGAGGAAGGAAGGGGGAGAAGGAGAACTCAGCCCCCTAATAGGTTGAGCTATGATCGGCTTGGAAGACCAGCCAACTCAACCTTGACCGGTTCGGCTCTCATGCTAGGCGATGATGCGGAAGATGAAAGCGAGGAGTGCGCCTTTGCCTTCTTCTCTCCGGTGGAGATGCCGGGGGAGCCTACAAATCCCAAGGAGGCTTGGGAGGGCCCCCAATGGGAAGGAGTGGAAGAAGGCCTCAGATGAAGAAATGGGGAGCATCATCGAGAACGACACGTTTGACTTGGTGAACCTACCTCCGGGGCGTAAGGCGATCTCTTCCAAGTGGCTCTTCAAGCGCAAGACCGACGCCGACGGCAACATCGAGCGCTACAAGAGCAGACTTGTAGCCAAGGGGTATCAGCAGCAAGAGAAGAAGGACTACAATGAAGTGTATGCTCCTGTGGTGAAGGGTACAACCCTTCGAACCCTCTTCGCCGCGGCGGCCATCAAAGGATGGGTGGTGAAGCAAATGGATATCGTAACGGCCTTCCTCAACGGCGTTTTGGAGGAAGAAACCTACATGGAGCAGCCAGAGGGGTACAATGATGGGAGTGGCAGAGTGTGGAAGCTGAAGAAAGCACTCTATGGCCTCAAGCAAGCCCTAGGCAATGGTACATCAAGCTGCGGGAAGTTTTGGAGGCGATCGGCTTCACTCCCTCAACGGCCGATCAATCGTTGTTCATGCTTGGCGAGGGGGAGCAGAGGAGCTTCATGGTGGTTTATGTGGATGACATCCTTATATTCTCACCCTCCTCTGACCTTGTGAAGGAGGTGATGCTGAAGCTTCAAGACAAGTTCAAGTGCAAGACCCTTGGTGACGTCAACTACTACCTTGGGCTTCACATTGAGCGAGATGTGGAGAAGCGGTGGATGCGAGTGCATCAAAAGAAGTACTTGGAGGCCTTGGCTGCAAACTTTGGGAAGAGTGAAGGTCATGTGGCTACTCCTCTTCCTCAGGGTTCAAGTGTGTGAAAGGACCAGCGGAGGAAAGTGTTGGTGAAGAGGAGAGGCGCCGTTTTCACTCCTTGGTGGGCAGCCTCATGTATGCGGCCGTTCACACAAGGCCGGATGCAGCCTTTGCTACCGGGCAGCTGGCTAGGGTTGTCCAATGCCCTAATGAAGAGCAGGTAGCAGCTGGAGAGAGAGTGGCCAAGTACCTTGGCCAAACAGCAACTGTTGGACTGCAATACTCCGCGGCGGCACAAAGGCGTCAAAAGGGTGCGGATGGAGTCGAACCCGGGAGGCTTTTCTCACCGCCTTCTCTGATGCATCTTGGGCATCAGAACCAGAGGACATGACAAGTGTGGGAGGCTTCATCTGCTGTGTTGGTGGAGGGCCAACAGCTTGGGAGAGCAAGAAGCAAGTGGACCAAGCATTGAGCTCGGTGGAGTCCGAGTACATGGCACTCTTCCGTGCCATAAGAGAGGTTGTGTGGCAGCGGCGTTTGCTAGCTGAATTGGGGGAGGAGCAGCAAGGACCTACCCACTCTACTGTGATAGCCAGGGTGCTATTGCATTGGCTAAGAACCCCGTTCTTCATGGCCTTACCAAGCACATGAAGGTGAAGTGGCATTGGGTGAGGAGCATGGTAACCGCGGGTGAAGTGGAGTTGCACTACGTGAAGACGACGGCGCAGCCAGCTGATATGATGACCAAGAGGCTGGTTGAGCAGCAGCATTGGAAGTGTTGCAAGCTTGCTGGGATGGCTCTGAACTAAGGGGAGCAGATTCTAAGGCCAACAATCCGAGGGGGAGTTTGTTGGTGCAACCCTATGGCTTGCACTCGGCTTGTCGTCCTTGTTTGTGTGTGTGCATGCATGGCATGGAATGAATTGTGAGTCTATGTCATTGCTATCCAGTGCTTGTGTGTGTGTTTGAATGGTGTATCACAATGTGGTTTGTGTCGGTCAAGACATTAGCAAGTTTTTACAACTCGCATGTCAAGTCGTCGTTTGTGTGTCGCATGTGTTTTTTCTATTTTGTCGAGTGTGAAGTGTCGATCGTGTCGCAGGTGTGTGCAGCAAGCCCCCATCAACTCAAGAAGAATTTATCTTGCAGATCCAGGAACAAGAGCTCAAGATTTCAAGCCCAAGGGACGCGGATAAATATTAAATAGTGAAAATAGTAACGTTACTTCGTGTAGTGTTACATTTCACTTGGTGTAGCCCCTTGGAGGGTTGGTTTCGAGACTCTTCATGGTTGGGGACCCTGTGGTGGTGTACCACCAACCTGGACCTCGGCTCTTGGGGTATGTAGAGGCTGGGAACCATCTCCCTCTCGAACTCTTCTTGCTAAGTTTGTACTCCTAAGACTATTGTGGCTGCTATACCTCCTGCCAGTCAAACCGCCATAGCGTCGTCAAATCTTCATGGAATTTCATGATTCAACTTGCTGCTGATAGACGACAGCAACACGCTCCAGATCCAATTTACACATCACCGTTTGATTCAGTGACCAGATCGTTATCAGTATTTGAAGCCGTCTGACAGAAATCCGACTGTGCTCTCTATCTCTCATTATAGGCACATCTAAGCCTATTGTGATTATAACACCTCACTCACTCATTCACGACTCAACAGGCCTCAGTCACTCCCCCCATCCCACCGCATCACCTCATTCACGCCACCCCCCCCCCCCCCCCCCCCCCCCCCCCCCCCACCACCGCGTCACTCTTCAACACCCTCATCATTCACGACTCACCGCGCCTCAGTCACTCCCATTCCCCATCACCACGCCGTCACTCCACCCTCATTCACGACTCACCGCGCCTCAGTCACTCCCATTCCCCCATCACCACGCCTCACTCACTCTCATTCACGACTCACCGGCCTCAGTCAACTCCATTCCCCCATCACCACGCCTCACTCACTCTCATTCACGACTCACCGCGCCTCAGTCACTCCCATCCCCCATCACCACGCCTTCACTCCACTCTCATTCACCGACTCACCGCGCCTCAGTCACTCCACTTCCCCCATCACCACGCCTTACTCACTCTCATTCACGGACTCACCGCGCCTCAGTCACTCCCATTCCCCATCAGCCACGCCTCACTCACCTCATTCACGACTCACCAGCCCAGTCACTCCCATTCCCCATCACCACGCGTCACTCACCCTCATTCACGACTCACCGCGCCCCAGTCACTCCCATTCCCCCATCACCACGCCTCACTCACTCTCATTCATGACTCACCGCACCTCAGTCACTCCCATTCCCCCATCACCACGCCTCACTCACCCTCATTCACGACTCACCGCGCCTCAGTCACTCCCATTCCCCCATCACCACACCTCACTCACTCTCATTCACGACTCACCGCGCCTCAGTTACTCCCATTCTCCCATCACCACGCCTCACTCACCCTCATTCACGACTCACCGCGCCTCAGTCACTCTCATTCCCTCATCACCACGCCTCACTCACTCATTCACGACTCACCAGGCCTCAGTCAACCCCATTCCCCCATCACCACGCCTTACTCACTCTCATTCACGACTCACCGCGCCTCAGTACCTCCCATTCCCCCATCACCACGCCTTACTCACTCTCATTCACGACTCACCGCGCCTCAGTCACTCCCATTCCCCCATCACCACGCCTCACTCACTCATTCACGACTCACGAGGCCTCAGTCAACCCCCGTTCCCCATCACCACGCCTCACTCACTCTCATTCACGACTCACCGCGCCTCAGTCACTCCCATTCCCCCATCACCACGCCTTACTCACTCTCATTCACGACTCACTGCGCCTCAGTCACTCCCATTTCCCCATCACCACGCCTCACTCACTCCCATTCCCCCATCACCATGCGTCACTCACCCTCATTCACAACTCACCGCGCCCCAGTCACTCCCATTCCCCCATCACCACGCCTCACTCACTCTCATTCATGACTCACCGCACCTCAGTCACTCCCATTCCCCCATCACCACACCTCACTCACTCTCATTCACGACTCACCGCGCCTCAGTCACTCCCATTCTCCCATCACCACGCCTCACTCACTCTCATTCACGACTCACCGCGCCTCATTCACTCTCATTCCCCCATCACCACGCCTCACTCACTCTCATTCACGACTCACCGCACCTCAGTCACTCCCATTCCCCCATCACCACGCGTCACTCACCCTCATTCACAACTCACCGCGGCCCTGTTACTCCCATTCCCCCATCACCACGCCTCACTCACTCTCATTCATGACTCACCGCACGTCAGTCACTCCCATTCCCCTATCACCACGCCTCACTCACCCTCATTCACGACTCACCACGCCTCAGTCACTCCCATTCTCCCATCACCACGCCTCACTCACTCTCATTCACGACTCACCGCGCTTCAGTCAACCCCATTCCCCCATCACCACGCCTCACTCACCCTCATTCACGACTCACCGCGCCTCAATCACTCTCATTCCCCCATCACCACGCCTCACTCACTCTCATTCACGACTCACCAGGCCTTAGTCAACCCCATTCCCCCATCACCACGCCTCACTCACTCTCATTCACGACTCACCGCGCCTCAGTCACTCCCATTCCCCCATCACCACGCCTCACTCACTCTCATTCACGACTCACCGCACCTCAGTCACTCCCATTCCCCCATCAAAACGCCTCACTCACTCTCATTCACGACTCACCGCACCTCAGTCACTCCCATTCCCCCATCACCACACCTCACTCACTCTCATTCATGACTCACCGCACCTCAGTCACACCCATTCCCCCATCACCACGCCTCACTAACTCTCATTCACGACTCACCCGCCCTCAGTCACCCATTCCCCCATCACCACGCCTCACTCACTCTCATTCACGACTCACCGCGCCTCAGTCACTCCCATTCCCCCATCACAACGCCTCACTCACTCTCATTCAGGACTCACCGCACCTCAGTCACTCCCATTCCCCCATCACCACGCCTCACTCATCTCATTCACGACTCACCGCGCCTCATCACTCCCATTCCCCCATCACCACGCCTCACACTCTCATTCACGACTCACCCGCCTCAGTCACTCCCATTCCCCCATCACCACGCCTCACACTCTCATTCACGACTAACCGCAGCTCAGTCACTCCCATTCCCATCACCACGCCTCACTCACTCTCATTCACGACTCACCGCACCTCAGTCACTCCATTCCCCCCATCAGCACGCCTCACTCACTCTCATTCACGACTCACCGCGCCTCAGTCACTCCCATTCCCCCATCAATACGCTTCACTCACTCTCATTCACGATTCACCGCGCCTCAGTCACTCCCATTCTCCCATCATCCACGCCTCACTCACCTCATTCACGACTCACGCGCCTCAGTCACTCCCATTCCCCCATCACCACGCCTCACTCACTCTCATTCACGACTCACCGCCTCAGTCACTCCCATTCCCCCATCACCACGCCTCACTCACTCTCATTCACGTCTCACCAGGCCTCAGTCACTCCCATTCCCCCATCACCACGCCTCACTCACTCTCATTCACGACTCACCAGGCCTCAGTCAACCCCATTCCCCATCACCACCCTCACTCACTCTCATTCAGGACTCACCCGCCTCAGTCAACCCCATCCCATCACAACGCCCACACTCACTCTCATTCACGACTCACCGCGCCTCAGTCACTCCCATTCCCCATCACCACTCCACACTCACCTCATTCACGACTCACCGGCCTCAGTCACTCCCATTCTCCCATCACCACGCCTCACTCACTCTCATTCACGACTCACCGTGCCTCAGTCACTCCCATTCCCCAATCACCACGCCTCACTCACTCTCATTCAGGACTCACCGCGCCTCAGTCACTCCCATTCCCCCATCACCACGCTTCACTCACTCTCATTCAACACTCACCGCGCCCAATCACTCCCATTCTCCCATCACCACGCCTCACTCACCCTCATTCACGACTCACCAGGCCTCAGTCACTCCCATTCCCCCATCACCACGCCTCACTCACTCTCATTCAGGACTCACCTCGCCTCAGTCACTCCCATTCTCCCATCACCACGCCTCACTCACTCTCATTCAAGACTCACCGTGCCTCAATCACTCCCATTCTCCCATCACCACGCCTCACTCACTC